CATATTTTCTCTCTACTCTCCTCTAACATAGCTCCAGCTCTTCCACGAGGACGATTCTGATTTCTACCCCTCAGGGTGATAAGAAAACTGGTGTCTGTGGCTGAGGCTTTTCCTACGTGTTGTATGATGTGTTACATAGATGATTCTATTATATATGTAGTAAACAGAACCTTCCATAGGGGAGGAGGTGGGTCAGGAAGTTTACCATACTAAATGGGATCAAGAGGTTGCATGAGGACAAAACTACCTTTAGTTATAATGTCTTGAGACTTAAGAACAAGTTTATTAAATCATTTAATTGGAGGGAGCATGTTCACACACATTCATTTTAATTGAATCCTTAATTTATAGACAGAGTGCTCCATCTAATCCACTCTGAAAAAATAACATACACTGTAATATCCATGTTTAATTGTATTCAGAAAATGCCCAGCCAGAAAGTTCACAGACAGATGGTTCATATCATTCAGTCCCATACCTGCAGACTCCATCAGATCTACCTACTTGGCTTCTTTTAGTCTAGTGGAATGAGTTGAAAAACAGGCACCAAGCTTTCATATCTACATTCCTTAGTCTCTGGTCAGAATCTCTAATATAAAGAATATATTGATGCTTTAATCTTTTTTTTTCATAAAAGAAAACTTTCAGATGCCATCCTATGAAGATTCTCTGGGTTTATGTCTTTTTAATGACAAAGCCATCTAGTATGTATTTTCTCTTGGAACAACTGTAGATATATAGATTTTCATTTTAGCTTACAGGGTTATAAAATTTTAAATGTTTATGAATAGAAATCATCCAAGGACTGAGTAAAAGTTTGATAAAATATATGCTTTTTTTCAAGAACCTTCTTATGCGAGAATATTGAAGATCATTAATCGAAAGACATTTTTATGTAGATTTTTTTCAGAACACAAAGATATTTAGATTCTTTTAAAACTTCAATGTAATTTAAAAATGAAACCTAGGTTTGGGTATGTAACATGAGGGCTTGTTGGGGTTTAAGTGTTTTGTGGCAGGACCTCTTAAAGAGCTGCAAGGTTTTGCAGCTAAAGCTGAGTCAGGAAGCCTCTCTTAAATGAGAGTGCTTGCCTTTAGCGAGCAGAGCCCACCTGAGAGAGTGCTGCTACCAAGAAACCATTCGCAATGCTGTCATTTTGTTCTAGAATTACTTCCCAAGCTGTCTCAGGCTTTATGTGGATGCAGTTGTCCATGTGGGCACCATTTGTAACATGAGGACTGGCTTGTTGGGGTTTCTTTCCTGCCCAGTACCCCACAGTTGGCAAGCCCCAAAGAAAATCATACACAGGTCTACATAAGTTATAAAGTGATTGGCCCATTAGCTCAGGTTACTTATTGGCTCTTGTAGCTTATATTAACCCATTATTCTGATCTATGTTAGCCATGTGGCTCAGTACCTTTCACAGTAGGGCATGACACATATTGCTTCTTCCAAGTCAGGGCAGGAGAGGGGGGAATGGGCTTCCTCCTTCCTAGTATTCTCTTGTTCTCATCGCTCTGCCTCTACTTCCTTTCTGGTTGTCCCACCTATACTTCCTGCCTGGCCAATCAGTGTTTATTTAAAACATGATTGATAGAAAACAGACAATTATCCTGCACCATGGGTATGTTATGTTTTCATTTTTATTCAATTCTGAAAATTTTTAATTACTTTCTTAACTTCTGTCTTGACCCTTTTTTCATTGAGTAGTGAGTTGCTCAGTTTTCATGAGCTTGCAGCTATCTGTTCTGTTGTAGTTGTGCACAGCGTTGATTTTTTGTGTTTCTTTGAGCACCATGACAGTTGGCATGAACAACCCCATACAAAACATGACAAAAAATGAGTCAAGGAGAAGGTGGTAGAAAATAGTTGGTATGGAAGACTGTCACTTTTTCATGGCAAGACTAGATAAACACTAGTCACAAGACTCATGAAAATGGCATCTGAGGGCCTCCGAGGTCCTGTGTTGAAAATGAGCTCTACTGATCAGAACAAAAAACAAAATTGCATTTAGAAAGTTCGAGATGAATCTTGAGGAGGTGCAAGGTAGAGTGTAGGTAACTTCTGCAGTATGGATCCAACCTGAGATAAAAGGGTCCTCTGAGTCAGAGAGTGGCATTCCAAGATGATCTCATGTTGATGTCAGGACCACTGATACTGATTTACTTCATTTATTCTGTGATGGTGAAAAAAACACCGCACAAACAAATATGGAGGACCCCTATGCTCAGTATCAATAGGTCCAAAAATAGAGGACTCCTATGCTCAGTATTGATAAGACTACCAGACCTAAATGATGATGAGAAACATTGATCCATAAGGTACAGAAAAGTGACCCAAAAGAAGAGACTAATGCACTGATTGTAGGTAGAACTTGGAAAAGTAGCACTTGCCAGTTTGCACATCCATTTCATGATGCCTTTGTTAGAAAAGTTCACATCCTAAAACTCAGTTTGCAACTGGGAAAACTCAGAGCTTCATTCTGAAAGTCATAGTTCTGGAAAGCGACTGGTAATGAGGGAAATTCAAGGAGCTGATGGATACACCATCAGTCCAAGACTGTTGGATATTTGGATTTTT